ATGAGTCAAATTCATCTTGACAAACAAGGATTGGTCGCAACAGAGGGCAGCAACTTTTCTGGCTTTGACTGATCTTCAAAAAGACAACAAGTTAGACCAGCTTCATAATTGGATGGGGAGTCACCAGGAAAAAAGAATCGAGGGGTACAGATCAGACTAGGAAGCTGAGAAAATATCTCAGAAGAAGACAACGCCAAACAGGTGTCAAAGGATTGCCAAGTAAACTGGACAGACATGACCATGAAGTCGCCAAGAGTCAAACTCAGTACCTTTATCTGAAAATCAAGAAAAAAGGCATGCTGACAGAAGTGAATATTTGCAGCTCGGGGTTGAACTGTGGGGTCCTTGGTGCTCTCTGAGCTTGGTGGTTTTCTTGCAGACGTTTCATTACCAAACTGGCTTACATCATCCATTCTAGTCATCAATGGGTAATGAAATGTCTGCAAGAAAACAACCAAGAGCAGAGAGCACCAAGGGCATGCTTAACGTGAAATATCCAAGATACTTTGTGTAGATCAGGGGTCCTCAACCTTGGCAATTTTAAGACTTGTGGACTTCAACTCCCAGAATTCCTCAGAATTGGCTGGCTGAGGAATTCTGGGAGTTGAAGTCCACAGGTCTTACAGTTGCCAAGGTTGAGGACCCCTAATGTAGATAATAGGAAAAGTATTGTCTAGCTGAGTGTCAAGGTTGAATATATAAAGAATGCAGCTCATTGGCCATGAACAACAACAACAACAATAATGGCTGCACAAGACCAAGCCTTAAGGACAAATGCATATAAAGTCAAAATTGAGAAGACAGCAACAGACAGTAAGTGCCGCCTATGCAAGGAAGCTGAAGAAACAGTGGACCACCTGGTAAGCTGTTGCTAGAAGATTGCACAGACTGACTACAAGCAGCGGCATGACAAAGTAGCAACAATGGTGCATTGGAAGATCTGCAAAAAATATCATTTGCCTGTAAGCAAAAACTGGTGGGATCATAAAATAGAGAAAGTCATAGAAAATGATAAAATTAAACTGCTCTGGGACTTCAGAATTCAAACAGACAAGCACCTGCAACATAACACCCCAGACTTAACAATTGTCGATAAGAAAGACAAAAAAGTCTGGATAGTGGACGTGGCAGTGCCTGGAGACAGCAGAATAGAAGAGAAAGAACTGGAGAAGATAACAAAATACAAAGACCTACAAATAGAAATAGAAAGACTGTGGCAAAAGCAAGCAAGGGTAGTACCAATAGTGATAGGCTCCTTGGGTGCAATCCCAAAACAACTGGAGCACCACTTGAACACCATTGGCATTGACAAATTCGCTATTAGTCAATTGCAAAAGGCGGCCTTACTAGGAACTGCTTCCATCCTGCGACGATATCTGTAATACCATCAAACATCCACATCTGCCTATCCCAGGTCCTGGGTAAGGACTCGATAGGTAGACAAAATGCCAAATCCAGTCTGAACATCTGGCTGACTGTGCGATGAATGATAATAATAAAGTTGGAAGGGACCTTGGAGGTCATCGAGTCCAACCTCCTGCTCAGGCAGGAACCCTATACCATTTCGGACAGATGGCTGTCGAGTCTCTTCTTAAAAACTTCCAGTGTTGGAGCATTCACCACTTCTGGAGACAGGTTGTTCCATTCCTTTACTATTACATTTTTATTCCACTTTTATTTTTGATTAACAAAAGGCGGCATGCATACCTAAATGTTTTGCTTAGATTTCATTTTTAAAATTTCCTCTTTTTAAATGACAATACCTGGGGGGTATAAATGTGCTCAGGGCCACATTTCCTGATTATGTTAACATCTACTGATAATTTTCTTGATTGCTGTATATTCTTAATTTTCTTTTGTGCTGTCTTTGTAATTTGGTTTTAATTGATTTGATGATTGCGTGTTGCCTAGTCATTTCTTTGAGATGGACGGCACATAAATTGAATAAACAGATAAATAAATTTAAAATATATCTGGATGCCATCACTTGTTGGACCACAAAATAAAACAAGTCCTTATACTGTTGTATGAAAGTAGAATTTTCTCTGCTGATTTAAACAGGGTTTTTTCCTCATTCCTGATGTTTCCTCGAATATAGCAGAAAACAACACACCCTGTGTACAATCAGAATGATGGCAATTTTGCCGTGGATCACGTGAAAGAAAAATGTGACACCACACTTCAAATATCTAAAGGGCTGTCAGAAAGAATTATTTATTTGCTACCCTTCGGTCATAATAATGTTTGTGATTGATTTGATGAGAGACAAGTATTTGTCCTCTATTACTTCAAAGGACTAAATTTGCACCAGTGTTTGTTTGGGCTGAATATCACAAGAAACCTTTTGACAAAAAAAAGCAGCTCAAAAAAGAGAAATGGTGGGTTAATTTTCACTGAGGTTTCCAAGCAAAAAACTAGCCCAGCCTTTCCTGACTGAGGTAGCCTCCAAACAGATGGATTTCAGCTCTTAAAATGACTACATTTGTTGTCTGTGGGGATTCTCAGTCATCCAGGTCAAGAATTTAAGTTATTTGTTTATTTATTTATTTATAGCCCCGGTGGCGCAGTGGTTAGAATGCAGTACTGCAGGCTGACTCTGCCCACTGCCAGCAATTCAATTTTAAATGGCTCAAGGTTGACTCAGCCTTCCATCCTTCCAAGGTCAGTAAAGTGAGGACCCAGATTGTTGGTGGCAATATGCTGAATCTATAAAGCAGAAGGCAAATGGACTTTCTTGTTTTTCTTTGAAAACATTTTGCTTCTCATCCAAGAAGCTTCTTCAGCTCTGACTGGATGGTGGGGAATGGAAGGATTTATATTCCCGGCAGACAGGTGGTCATTTGTATTCTTTTAGAGAATCGTTGAAGCCACCTGGAGGATCACCTGAGTAGCACAAACGTGTGGAGCCTTCTTGGCTGCAGGATGTTTTCTGCCCCGTGTCCCTTCACTGTTGAACACAGGTGCAAGCTGTTGGGGATGAGTCTGTGTTGTCTGCATTTCAAACTGAAGCGCAATATACATCCTTCCATTCCCCACTATTGTGTAGTAGGCTTCAATAGGCAAGGAGCAGACTGACATAGTTACAACATTATTTATTGACTCAAACTAGAACTGGAGAATTGCAGGCAATTGCCTGTCATTTATACTCTGAGCCCACAGGGCCTTAGCCAATCACAATACTAGAAAAAACCCGCCCAATATGAATGTTCAAAGTTTCCCTCCAAAACAGTTGGAGTTAATAGTCAGGGTCATCAAGGTTAGTTTCATTTTAACTTCACAAGCAGTTGGAGTTAAGTTAGTTTCACTTTCGCAGGGATTAACACAACTTTATATATATTCAATACATAACACCCACCATCCAGTCAGAGCTGAAGAAGCTTCTTGGATGAGAAGCGAAACGTCTTCATAGAAAAACCCAAGAAAGTCCAGTTGCCTCATGAAAAAGCATGTGGGATGACTATGCTTGTTGAGAATCTCAAGGGAGACCGTAGGGTGCCTAGCCTTCATCTCACACAGTGATACTGGTAGTACTCGACTTACAAAGACAATTGGACCCAACGTTTCTGCCTCTAAGAAAGACAGACCCGTTTTACGACTTTTCTTGCCACTGCTGTTGTTAAGTTAGTAACCATGGTTGTTAAGTGAATCTGGCTTCACCATTGATTTTGCTTGTCACAAAAAAGGGATCACATGACCCCAGGACATTGCAACCTATCATGAATACGAGTCAGTTGCCAAGCATCCGAATACGAGTCAGTTGCCAAGCATCCGATCAGGTGACCATGGAGATGCTGCAGTGGTTGTGTGAAAGTGTGAAAAATAGTCATAAGTTGCTTTTTCAGTGCCACTGTAACACTGAACGGTCTCTAAACGAATGGTTGTAAGTTGAGGACTATCTGGATTCTGGATTCCCTGCGCCAAACTGTGGGTGAAAATACAGTCACCAACTCTGTCACGGTCAACGTCTAACCATGTCATAGCATCTGTTGTCCACACTTCTGTTGCCACATCTCTGTGCTTTGAGGAGGATTGTCTATTTCTGTATCTGTTTATTCCAGTTGTCTATAAATGTGTATTCACAGGTATTCCTTGAACTTACGACCACAACCGGGACTATTGCTAAGCATGCTAAGCAGTTGTTAAGTGAATCATGCTCAATTTGATGACCTTTATTCACCACAGTGAAGCAAATCAATGTAGTTATTAAGTGAATCGCATGGTCATGAAGCAAATTTGGCTTCCCATCTTGACTTTGCTCGCCAGATGCTGGCTGTGAAAGTTACAAATGGCCATCAGCCGACCTCAGAACGCTGCAACCATTGTAACTACATTCCAGTTGCTGAGCGCCTGGATTTTGATCCCGTGACCATGGGGATTCTGCAGATGGTCGTAAACGTGTGGGTCACTTTGTTCAGTGCCGTTCCCCTTTGAACGGTTGCTGAACAAATGGTTGTTGAATCAAGGACCTAACCCTGTATTTTAATTCTGCCTTGCAAGTGTTACCTTGTCAACTTAGCACAGTGGTTCTCAACCTTTTTAATGCCGTGACCCCCAACCGGTCGTAAGTCGAGGACTACTCAACCGGTCGTAAGTCGAGGACTACTCAGCTGGTGCAGCACCATTTGCAGAATGGGACTTTTGGCGGGCTCAGCAGGGCAGAGACAGCCTGGACAATGCCTATTGGCTTTTGAAAGCCAATAGAATTAGACTCTATTTAAGAGAGTCTATTCTATTGGCTTTCAAAAGCCAATAGAATAAAAGGGAGTAGCACAGCTAAGGAAAAGGGGGGAAAAAATGGCGGACTGCGTTGTTTGGCGACCCCCGTGAAATGGTCGTTCGACCCCAAATGGGGTCCCGACCCACAGGTTGAGAACCACTGACTTTGCGCTAAAGATTCCCCCAGAGATGATTCTGACGCTCCTCAAGAAACGTCTTAGGACGTCTTCTAACTCCAAGTCCCAAATTCTTATCTTTTTCTCTCTCTCTCTTTTGTGCCGCAGTTCCAATGGGAAATCGGTCACCTGGGCCCAGAATGAAAAAAGTACAAGCCGAGGGGCCCATCTCTGGCAGAGGCTTTCAATCCATATCAATAAGAAAGATAACCCCAACCAAACCGCGGTGATCAAACCCTTCTCTAAAAGCACAGACAGCAGCCGGCAGGGCAGTAGCGCCACTATCGCCACCACGTTCCCCGAATCCAGTGCCAAAACTCTTTATGATGTCTCCGAAGCTGAAGAACACTACCCAGCTCAATATCGGGTTCAAACTCCTTCCCCCATCAGTACAGTCAGCCAGAGAACTGCTTCCCTGAGCCGGACTGAAGATGATGTTCCGACTTTCCAGACGGAACCAACCCAACGGAGCAGTTCTTCCCAAGGTTCCCTGATGGAGCAAATCAGCAGCGTGGTGACCCGATTCACGGCCAACATCAGCGAACTCAACTCCATGATGCTCTCCACCGCCACGCCAGGCCCGATGGTGACCACCCCGTTGTGCTCTTCCTACCTGATTCCGAGGGAGATCCAGATCCCGACCGCCATGACCACGTTTGCAGAGATCCAGCCCCTGCCTGCCATTGAGGTCAACGGAGCATCTCAGTCAAGCAGGAAACCGTCGTGTGGAAGCGTCAAAGAAGGCCCTTCGGCGGAAACCCCGGCTGTTGCCAAGCCCGAGCTTGAAGAGTTGGTGGCTTTGACGCCTCCCTCTCCATTCAGGGACTCTGTGGATTCTGGAAGTGCTTCTCCCAGTTCTCCTGCATCGGAATCCGCCGTCTGTATGCCGTCTTCGCCGAAATACGACTCGCTGACGATAAGGGATTACACGCAGAGTTCTTCTTCCTTGTGAATGTAGTTGAAGTCAACTTTGAATTTCTACAGCGTCGGCTCCGTCAAGGAGACGAAGCCCAGCCTCCTCCCAGTTCTCCAGTGTTTACAGACACAATGAGAGTAATGGGTCATTTTTTGGGGAGGGGGGGATGAAAAGATGCAAGGGGAAGAGTAAAAAACAACAGATGGGTTATGCTCTTTTAAACTTACACGCACGCACGCACACAGACACACATACATACACGACAGAACTTTTTAGCAGATTTTTCGTGGCCTTAAAAACATGGGCTTTTCAATGGAGAGAGGAAAAAAAAAAGAAACTTTGCATTTATTCCTGAGGGCTGACAGGACATCTCTTACATCACTTACTTGCCAAGTGCTTTGCAACAGCGAGTAACGGGGGACTGGAGATGGAGAGAAACAGCAGGTAGATGACCAGAAGTGATCCAGTGTTTGTTTACTTGGATTCCTTAATCCAGAAGTAAACCTTGATCTTTTTTTTTTTTTCAAGACACGGAAGACCAAAATCTTGAATGTACATTTTGTAGTGAACTCCAGACCGGGGACCAAAAGGACCAACTCCTTTTTTCTTTTTTTTTCCCCCTTTCAGTTGAAAGTGTTTGTTTTTTTAATGACGATCTCAACCGATAGTAATATATTCTGTCACAACGGAACACTGTTGACTAAGCTGGCAGCACTCTGCCCATTGATAAATGTAAATTAACACACTGCAGCACACGGCTGCACTCAAAGAGGGCTTTTCTAGAATAACTTCCCATCTGAAGATACGTTTAAGAGAGGGAGGGAAAAAAAACGATCTCTCTTCAGTTAAGTATCAATTTTCTTTTCTTTTATTATCGTGGGATATTATCATCTCCAGAATGACAGCATTCTGGGAGTGGTTGGTTTGTTTTTTTTCCTGACTATTTCACCATGTTGCCAATCAATAACGAAGTAGCAAAAAAAAAAAGAAAAAAGAAAAAAAAATCACAAAATAATAATAATAATAATAATAATAATAATAATAACAACAATATAGTAATAGTATTTTCTGGAATACTGTTTTGTAATTCCCGGATCAGGACATACGTTGAGCTGAATATTCGTTTTCTATAATGATGTGGGGCAGCATAAGGATTGCTAGGTTCCCAAGGGTAATGCATATTTTTACAGACGCTCTTGCATTAACCCTGTCAGGGGACACTTCTATCAAGAAGGAAGGTCTTTCAGTCATAAGGAGGAGAACAACTGTCTCTAACAGGGAGACAAGCCAAGGGGATATAAAAAGTGTATAAAGCAGTGTTTCTCAACCTTGACAATTTTAAGGCATGTGAACTTCAACTCCCAGAATTCCACAGCCAGCCTTGCTGGCTGTGGAATTCTGGGAGTTGAAGTCCACATGCCTTAAAATTGTCAAGGTTGAGAAACACTGGTATAAAGTATGGCTGGGGCTGTTCCCAGGATTACTTCCGATTGGCTGATGAGCGTGCCAGTCAGCCTTCTGTCCGTCCGCAGAAGAAATTGCAATATGAGGCAACCGTCATTTTTCCTCACAGTTTTAAACACTTTCTTAGGGACCCTTCTTTCCCCCTCAACATCCCTACCGCCACCACCCCTACATTCGGAGTCAACTTTGTAAGGATATTCCAACAGGCATTTGGCTCACGATCCAACTTTTCAGGCTCGCTGGCCTTCCTGGCCCTTGTCGGTTTAGACGTGCACAACAATCCCCAAGGTCAGGGAATCAAGTCACACAAATTATCCATCATTAATGTTATAGGTTGCTGTTTTTAATATAGTGAAAGTCGTTTGATTCATATGGTCCAGAATTGGGACAGAAGGTTTACAAGGTGGTGAGCTGCTAAATTAGACCCGATTTGAGCCTTTAGCTGAATAAGGAGAATTTTATCCTCAGCAAGACATCGGCTCTCCTGCCTTTAAATGAAACTGAAACCTTTCTCCTGCATTTTCCATTTATATCATGGGTCTCCGAACTTGACAACTTTAAGACCGGTGGACTTCAACTCCCAGAATTCTCCAGACAGCATGGCTGGCTGGGGAATTCTGGGAATCGAAGTCTACAAGTCTTAAAGTTGCCAAGATCGGAGACCCCGGCTTTATATCATCTAAACATGGGGAACAGCACCATCTAGCTAGGCCAGAGGTAGGCAACCTTGGCTCTTTTATGACTCGTGGACTTCAACTCCCAGAATTCCTGAGCCAGCCATGCTGAGGGGAAAGGGAGAGGTTTCTATGCTGAGCCATGCTGGCTCAGGAATTCTGGGAGTTGAAGTCCACGAGTCATAAAGCGGCCTAGGCCAGAGATAGGTAACCTTGGCTCTTTTATGACTCATGGACTTCAACTCCCAGAATTCCTGAGCCAGCCATGCTGAGGGGAAAGGGAGAGGCTTCCATGATGAGCCATGCTGGCTCAGGAATTCTGGGAGTTGAAGTCCACAAATCATAAAAGAGCCAAGGTTGCCTATCCCTGAGCTAAGCTAACCCTTTTGACCTACAGCTAGTCCTCTTGTGACCAGAGTTGGGATTGGACTATGTGTTGTATTCCATTGGAGTCATAAGTGTGCTTGGTTTTAAGATCATTTTTACAGCAGTCATGAAACAAATCATTGCAGGCAGTCATTAAGAAAATCACATGGCTGTTAAGTCAATCCAGCTTCCCCCTTGCCAGAATTTAAAAATGGCTGTAAGCCTCATTCACCTGACCACAGGACGATGCAATCAGTCATAAATGTGAGTCCGTTGCCACGTGCCCAAACTGTGATCATGTCACCGCAAAGATGTGACGGTCATAAGTGTGAGCTTAGGTCATAAGTTTACTTTTTCCAGGGCCGTTGTAACTTTGCAATTTGGAAAAGGAATGGTTGTAAATTGAGGACTATTTATATATTGCTACAGTTGTACTTCGGCACAGATTGTGCAAGGGTTCCAAGGAGGTGTAAAATATCCATCGGGATAGGTCTCTTCAAAGTGTTGCTAAAGTACAATTTCCAACATCTATTACAACTGGCAATGCTTCCTAGCTTCCTAGCAAGACACATTTTATGTTTCCTGACCTAAAAGCTTTTGGTTGCTTTGATGTTGGTTCCCCTTGGCAGATGTTCCGGGGAGATAAAGTGCATGCTAAACTCCTATTCTTCTTTATATTCAGAACCTGTGAATAAATAATGCATAAGGAGGTCTCCCAACAGCCCCTGTTTTCCTAAGCAGAGCAGAGAGACCATCATCATATTACTGGCAGGAACGTTTCAACATCTGTGGGCCCCAAGCAACTGCCCGTCACTGCCAGCTTCTGGTGCCAGCTGTGCTCAAGTTCACCATAAAACCTTCCTCGTGATCATCGCCTCTGGCACACAAAGAAGAGTGCGGCAATTTATACATTCTGCAGAGAAATTACAAATATTAATTTTAAAAAAAAATCATTGGCTAAACAGATGTCCTCAGTTACAGAGATAGGCAGATGCATAAATGCAGGAGAAACTCTTGAGTGAGAACGACATTAAACATGTGTTTCGTTAGAGCAGCCTCCGTCTCCTTGTGTTCTCCAGCTCGGCTGTGATCAGAGGACATTTAGAGCTATCAAATCTGGACTGCAAGAAACACCCCAAACAGCCCCTAAATTGCAGCAAAGGTTTTTAATATTTTTTTTTTCATGACATCTAGAGATCATCCTGAGCTTTCAGCCCAGCTCTGGTGGCTTCATCAGAATCTCCATCCAGCAAGGAATATAAGTTTTTTTTTTTAATTATATTAACAAACAAAATGAAAACAGTCAAAGATACATTAGTGTACCTACGCACATCCCCTTAGGAACCTCTTAAATATGGAGTGAAGTCCAGAGAAGTTAAGTTGGAATTAAAACTGTGAAATGTAGTAGCTGAGACAATTGAATCGGGTAAGATATTCCCAATTTTGACAACTCTGTTGCAAAAAAATCAGTTTTTTTACAATCAAGTTTAAAGCGGTTGTTCACGCGTGTTACGTTATGATTAAAACTTTAAAACATTGCAGATAGGACATTACTGTGTACAATTTTGTATGCAATACCTAAATCTGGCGACAAGTGTCATAGTTCTAAACCAGACATGTCAAACACAAGGCCCAGGGGCCAGATGCGGCCCACGAAGTGGTTTCATATGGCCCGCAAAGCCATCCTGGAAACAGTGAGGGAACGGCCCCCGCTGCCTTGGCCCTGGCCCAGGCCGGCCAGGAGCCAATGTACAATTTTGTGGTGGCCATTTATGCTGAAACGTATTCAGTCTTAGCTCCACAGGGCCGTCTAGAAACAGCGAGGAACCAGCCCCTGCCATGTCGGCCCCGCCCTGTGGGTGCATGCTGGGGAAGTGTCACCCTTTGTGAGGAATGAAGAAATGGACCATGCCTTGGCGCTTGCCCCGGTCCCACCCCCTTCTGCCAGAGACCCTCAGATCTGTCCCATTCCTGCCCAGGCCCCCACAGGCATCCTTGATGCAAACGATGTAGAGCTGGCCACACCCACTCAGTAGGCCACACCCACTCCATCCACACCCATGCAATAGGCCACACCCACCCTGGCCACACCCACCCAGCCCCCTGAGGGCAACCGCAATGCTGATGCGGCCCTCAATGAAATTGAGTTTGACACCCCTGCTCTAAACTATCCAAACAAAGAATTTCAAGCTTAGCAGCATAAGGTATTCTATCATGGACAATTATGAATTATTTTAGTCATTAGTAATAAAATTCGATGGTTTCAGTAATTTTACTTAAGTATAACTGAGGCTACAGTCTTATACCTATTTATTCTGAATAGGAATATGCTGCAATCGAAGGAGCTTAATCGTTAAGCAAATACACACAAAACTGCACTAGCACCTTTGATCCAACCTTCTATTCCTGGGTGTCTTTTAATCAACTTTGCAGGATTTCCCTCTTATATTTGGAGGATCATGGATGTTTCAGGCATAAGAATATAGGTAGTCCAGTGTTTCCCAAACTTGACAATTTTAAGGCATGTGGACTTCAACTCCCAGAATTCCACAGCCGGCGTTGCTGGCTGTGGAATTCTGGGAGTTGAAGTCCTCATGCCTTAAAATTGTCAAGTTTGGGAAACACTGAGGTAGTCCTTGACTTACCGCCACAACTGAGCCCAAAATTTCTATTGTCACATTTGTTAAGTGAGCTTGGTCTCGTTTTACGATCTTTCTTGCCAGAGTTGTGAAGGGAATCACTGCAAAGGTTAAGTTAGTGATACGGTTGTTAAGTGCTTCTGGCTTTCCCCACTGACGTTGCTGGTCAGAAGGTTGCAAAAGGTGATCATGTGACCCTTGGGCTCTGCAACCGTCATAAATATGAGTCAGTTGCCAAGTGTTTGAACTGAGACCACAGGATCCTGGGGAGGCTGCAATGGTCGTAAATGTGAAAAATGGTCATAAGTCACTTTTTTCCAGTACCAATTGTAACTTTAGTCAGCCACTAAATGAACTATTGTAAATTAAGAACTACCTGTAACAGTCTGGATTAACCTTGGGATTAATTATAAGCAATAGTGTGTTGTCTAGTCAGAAATGCTATGCAGACAATGGCTTACTGCAGGGGTCTTCAAACTCGGCCCTTTTATGACTTGTGGACTTCAACTTCCAGAATTCCTCAGCCAGGCACGCTGGCTGGGGACTTCTGGGAGTTGAAGTCCACAAGTCATAAAAGGGCTAAGTCTGAAGACCCCTGGCTTAATGTGTGGAACTCCTGCTTTGAAGTAGCAAGGCTGTTTCCCGGATATGTAGATTTCACTTACATTCCCAACTTTTAGTTATTCAACTCTTAATGCCTCATAGTAGAATCCATTAACTCAGGGGTCCCCAATCCCCGGTCCATGGACCAGCACTGGTCCATGGCATGCCAGCAACCGGTCCACGCAAACAAGCAAAGGCTCATCTGTGGGATGCAGACAGCATGCAAAATCATGGCCTCTCCAGTCCACGGAAAAAGATTTCTCCCCAGAACCGGTCCCTGGTACCCAAAAGGTTGGGAGACACTGCATTAACTAGCCTCTGAAGGTATGGAAGAGACATTTGGTTCTGACTGGGCCTTTGATGTTTGACTTGCTCTTGTTGTTGTAAGTCATGTCCAACCCATCACGACCCCATGGACAACGTTCCTCCAGGTCTTCCTGTCCTCTACCATCTTCTGGAGTCCATTTAAGCTCACGCCTACTGCTTCAGTGACTCCATCCAGCCACCTCATTCTCTGTTGTCCCCTTCTTCTATTGCCCTCAATCTTTCCCAGCTTCAGGCTCTTCTCCAG